GTTATGAAGTTATCATCAGTTTGTGGTGTGGGGAATTGGTCACTGATGGTTCTTGTTTTATTTGTGAAGAAAATTGCAAAGTCATCAGCTGTAAGAGTTGATGAAGGAGGAGGGGGAGGGGGACAGAGAAGAGAAGAGAAGATACATTTTTGAAAAGTGTGTGAGAGTCAGAACAGTTGTTAATTTTGTTGTGGTAGTATGTTGTTTTAGCAGTGAAGACATTTGCAGAGAAGGAAGAGAGGAGTGACTGATACACACTAAGGTCGGTAGAGTTTTTTGATTTGCGTCATTTCCTCTCTGCAGCCCTGAGTTTAGAGCGATGTTCACGGAGAACATCGGACAGCCAGGGGCAGAGGGGGTAGTGTGTGCTGGTCTGGATGAAAGGGGACAAAAGTTGTCTAAGCAAGATGTTAGAGTGGAGCAAATATTGTCAGTAGAACTGTTTGTGTCCAGTGCTGAAAACTGAGAGGGTGAAGGAAGTGAGGATGAAACCATAGAGGATAGGTGAGAGGGAGAGAGTGAACGTAGGTTACGTCGAAAGGTGACCTGCAGAGGAGTGTGTGCTGTGTCAGGAGTTAGTGTGAGGTTAGAAGTGATGAGGAAGTGGTCTGAGGTGTGCAGTGGAGTAACTAAAGTGTTGTCAGTGGAGCAATAGCGTGTGTAGATGAGGTCCAGTTGGTTACCTGATTTGTGAGTAGCCATAGTAGACACTCGCTTGAGATCAAATGAGGCGAGCAGAGTGTTGAAGTCAGCAGCCTGGGGTTTTTCTAGGTGGATGTTGAAGTCACCGAGCAGTACCAGAGGAGTACCATCCTCAGGAAAGTTTGAAAGTAACACATCCAACTCCTCCAAGAAGTTGCCCAGTTGACCTGGGGGACGAAAAACAACTACAAAGGGGATTTTAACAGAGTGGGTAATAGTAATTACATGTGATTTAAATGAACTGTTGCCTGTAAGAGATGGTTGAAGATCAAATTTCCATTCATTTGAGATAAGGAGACCAGTACCTCCACCCCTCCCAATCGTGCGAGGGGTGTGGGAATAAGTGAAATTAGTGGAGAGGGCTGCAGGTGTGGCAGTGTCCTCAGGTTTGATCCAAGTCTCAGTTAGGGCCATGAGGTTGAGACCGGAATGAGTAGCTATAGAAGAAATAAATTCTGCTTTGTTAACAGCAGACTGGCAGTTCCAGAGACCAATTGGAATAGAGAGTAAAGTAGTAGAGGACAGAGGGACAAGCCGTAGATTATTAGGATTGGCCTGCTTCCAACGTGCTTTCCGAGTGCAACGTGCGTGCTTTCCGAGTGTTAGTAGTAATAGTAGAGATTTGAAAGCACGTAGTGAGTACAATTGTCTTAAACAAGTATATGAGAACAAGCTGTACAAAAAGTAAAGAAAGGGGAGAAAAGCAATACTCAAGTGCCTTGTTGGTGGAGTTGCGCAGGTAGAGTCGTTGGTCTTTACACTCGTCGGTCTTCACACGAGGAGGCCTTCACACGAGGGCTGCCGCGACCGCTGCCGCGGTGAACTAACCAATTTTATACTTGCCTGACTTGTTATTGAAGTCAGCTGGCCACATCTTACTATTTAGCAAACCGAAACTGGAAAGTCCCGCGATACGCACGAGAACAAACGCGACTTGAGCACGTATTTACCACGGTAAAACACAGTAAGTGAAACAATGTTTCCCGAGCAATGACAACCGCGCTGAAATCTAATGAGAACACAAGACAAAACACTTACAAACTGCTGTCATCTTCTGCTGCTCGACTGCTTCTTCATGACAATGTTAATGTGTTTGGTCTTGGTGGAATAGATCTGCTATGCTGCTGCTGCTGCGGCAGAGCAAGTACCGAGACTTGTTACTGCCAATACATCCACAGACATGCTCAGGGATTAAAGTTCTCCGGAACCGTGACGGATCTCCGGCATGCAGCGTTTGGCTGCGGAAAAAAATAATCCTACATTAAAAAAAAAAGTTAATATCACTTTCAAGTCCATGAGTTCGCCTACCAATGGTATGAGAGGAGCACAGCTTTCACTCTCAACCAAACTAACATTACTAGCCAATCAGAATTTTTTGCTCTTATAAACACGAGACGCGCATAATAGTATCCAACTGCAGAGTCACAGCCCTGATGAATGGAGAAGCGCGACACGTTGAAAAATGTTCAAAGATGTCCATCTAGCGCATATTTACATAGAAAAACTAATTAAAAAGCAGCAGAGTTTTGTAAACAGCTCAGCGTAATCACGTCATCTTCATAAGAAAGCTATGATCGCCAGAACAAATTTACCGGGATTTTTTAAAAGGTCCTGTTAACTTACCAGTTTTACCAATTTACCAGTAAAGACTGTATGTGTGAAAGGGGCTAAACTCTTCCTCTGTATATGCTGTGAATTTGAATTGCTTAAGGTTCATCTGGGAAAACTGAATTTTCTCAATAGATTTGTAAATCATTTATAAACCTTTGCCAACACAGGAGAATACATCATATTTCTAAATATGCCATTTATTGTAAATCGCGATTTCAAAATAAAAGTTTCTGAGTTTGCATGTGGCCAAATATTAATATTGAATGGATTTAAACATAGTTTAAAGTGAGTATAGATTACTCAGTTGTCAAAATAATCAGTAGATTACTTGATTACCAAAATAATAATTAGTTACAGCCCTAGATTAGTTAAAGTATTTCTAAATACAACTGCATTGTTTTACTTTTTGTAATTAAAAGACATATTTTGTCATTGAAAATTTCTTAAAAATAGTATTAAAATATTGTCTTGTTCTAGTGAACCAAGTATCTGTATTTTGTCTCATCTCGTGAGCTAAGTGTATTGTCACACCCCTAGTGTTGATAAGCAGTGATATAGCTCATAATTTTCCAAGTGTATGATATAGCTTTCATTCTTCAGGTCAACCATATATTCATGAAAAAAAAAAGTTTGAATAAGGAAAGCAATAACTTTGCCATAGTATCCTTTCAAATGTTGAAGTTGACACAGTCGTTGCATGCTTTGCATGTGCTGCCCCATCCCCTCCCCCCTACCCGCTCTGCCCCCGGAAAAAAGTTCAGGCTCAGGATTTTTTTTTGCTTTAACCCCTGCATGCTGCTGTGAGCATGTAGGAAATATAAAATAACCCCCATATATAACAAACATGAAATTGCCCCATAGCAGATCTATACAGGTGGAGCTGGGGAAGGTGGAGAGTTTCTGAAGCGCGCTGCAACTGCTACAGTAAGCAATGGCCGAGTGTTTGAATGTTGAGCAGCAAGTTCATTGGCTGCTGATGTGAGAAGAAACCAATCAGCTGCACCATGTGAATAATGATGTGATTATATCAGATTGAGTTCGGCCTGCGCCATCTAGAGTTCCATGACAGATTTTTGTATAAATCTCCTATTTAAAAAAAATACAGATCAGCCGATAAATCAGAAGTGTATAGCTTAAAAGTTAGATTGAAGTAAAGTATAAATAAATAATAATAGTACAATAATACATTTGTTAATTATTATTGGTATTATTAATATTTTTATTGGCTATTCTAAAATGTTATTGTAATTTATTGTAATTTTATTTTAATTTGACTTATATTATTGTATTTTATCATATAAATTGTATTATTCATTTTGAAGTGATTTAATTGTTAGTGTCTAATGATTATTTAGTATTATTACATCAAAAGCAGAAATAAACAAGTAAAATTTGTTAATTTAAAAATTCTAGTTTGACCCTTGAAAACCAATATCGCCCGATCTCTGATAACCATATTCACATAACATTGTATTTACATAAAAAACATCATGGTATCATCACATTATGGTACTGTAAGTGATGTACTATAATGAAGTAACATTCTGAAGCCAAGAGCAAAGCAACAGTCAAGGCAAGTATAATTAAGATAGACAGTTGGACACTTGAGGAGGGAACGACTGCGTGTGCTCCGTCCTTGAGCCTGGGACTTTATTCCGGAGTCAGGAGAGGGAGTGGGAAAAAAATTAGATGGAATCTAAACACCTTGCTAAATCACAGATTTATGAATAATAGATGGTGAGGCTGATGGCCGGAGAGCAGAAGACAGAGAGCGAGAGAAAGAGAGAGGGATGTGTGTGCCATGAGTGAAGGGGAGAGTGACAGATGCCATTCAGTCAGGCTGAAGGATGGTTGCATATATGGATGGATGAGCAGAGCAGATGAAGGGTGGCGGAGGGCAGGAATGAGGCATGGCCGGAATACTTCCAGCTTTTGTTTTCAGGGTGAAAACTTATAAAGCGGCATGCTTAATGATTTTAATACCAGTTTAATGAATGTAATGTGCTGTTACATAAGTTCACACAGAAAACACAAGATTTCTCTTCCTTATAGTGTAAATAAATGTTAATTCCAGCCTTCTTTTTTTTTTCCCTTTCATATTTTTATTCTTGATTTTTTTCCCTTCTCTTATTTTTTTGCTTGTTCTTTTTCTTATTCCTTTCTTTTTCTTCTGTTGCCTTTTTCTGTCTATTCTTTCACTTTTACTTGTCTCTTTTCTGTTGCTTCTTTTTCTGCTTTCATTTTCTATCACTTTTCTTTTACTTTTGCTTTTCTATTTTTATTGATTTTTTACATTTCTTTTTTAACATTCTAATTTTTCTTTGTCGTTTTGCTTTTTCTCTGCGTTTTTAATTTTTTTCTTCTCTTTTTCATTTTCCTTTTGCTTTTTCTTTGAATTTTTTTCTGTCATTTTCCTTTTTTCATGTTTTCTCCCATTTTTCTCATTTTCACTTGTCCTCTTCTCTTTTTTCTGTTTTTTCCCTTTACTTTTCCCTTTCTTTTTCTTTATTCTCTATTCCCATTTTTATTCCTATTCTTGTTCTATTTCCTTTCTCTTTTTCCATATCCCTTTTTCTTTTTCTCTTCTTCCTGTCCACTCTCTCCAGCTCTTGAAAGACTTTCCAGATGAGCTGCGTTCGGACATCGCGATGCATCTGAATAAAGAGATCCTAGAGCTGTCCGTCTTCTCCTCTCTGAGCCGTGGATGTCTCCGCTCTCTCTCCCTGCACATAAAGACTTCGTTTTGTGCGCCGGGCGAGTACCTTCTTCGTCAGGGAGATGCTTTACAAGCTCTTTTCTTTGTCTGCTCCGGCTCCATGGAGGTGCTAAAGGACAGCATGGTGCTAGCCATCCTTGGTCAGTTTACACAAACCCACACACAAGCAAACAGTTTTATCTCAGAAAAGCTCAATGTAATTTTAGTGCGCTGAGGAAGTAGAATGAAGGGAAAAATGACTGCTTCTCATTAAGTGAAGACTTCAGGGCCCATGTGTTCCTACAGTTGCCAACAAAAGCTGCTCTCTGTGATTGGTCACTCTCTCTGTGAGGCTTTACACACACAGCAGGCTCATAGGACAGTGGACCAAATGTGCGAAAAAATATAATCCCCATCATCCTGTTAGGTCCTGCCTGTGTGTGTGTGTATTAATATCACCTTATGAGTTCTGACAGGAAAAAACACACACTATCTTTCTCATCTTTCCCTCACACGCTCTCTCCACCCTGCTGACAGGGGAAGGTCTCTCTGACATTGAGTTCTCAAGACGGTTCACTTGTCCTAGTTTTTGTGTGTTTACATGCTTTCTTAAACAGTATCTTTTGTGCCTCTAATAGAGCTGTTTGAAGCCCCACAGTGTTAAAATGCTAAACAAATTAGCATTTTCGGGCCACGACTCCCTTGGGAGATTCTAATGGGTTTTAAGAATAGGGGTTTCTATGAATAAAATAAGGTCTGTGGTTAACATTACTTGGAAACCTTCTCATGTTTTCAGTATGCTTTATACATACTGTACTCCTAAGGGAACCCATGGCAGATTAGCTTTCCAGTTTAGCATACATATTGACACATTGACTAAACACGCTTGCAGTTTCCTAGTGATATCTGACAAGATATTGATGTTTTTTTGCCTCTTCCTCTTTGTTTGTGTGCTCCTGTGTGACGTGTACAGGTAAAAGCGACCTGATTGGTGCAAACATGTCGGTTGGTGACCGTGTGATAAAGACAAATGCTGATGTGAAGGCGCTGACGTACTGCGACCTGCAGTGCATTAATCTGAGGGGTCTGTATGAGGTGCTCGACCTGTATCCTGAATACTCCCACCGTTTTGTGCAGGACATAACACACGACCTCACCTACAACCTGAGAGAGGGACAAGAGAGCCATGTAAGACAACACATGACTATTGTGATGCTGAAATTTCTCGTTCATTTATTTGTTTATGGTTGCTGGAACCCTTAATGCATTTCGGTAAAAGCCTGATCCTAACCTGATTCAGTTATTTGATTTCATGGACACAAGATTAATATTGTTTTTGGGATCCACCAAAATATAACATATTTTTTAACCCCACACGCAAAGTGATACATAGACAGACAGACAAATAACTGTTTTCTATTTTAATATATTGTAAAATGTAATTTATTCCTGTGTTGGCAGAGCTGAATTTTCAGCAGCCATTACTACCTTCGGAAATCATTATAATATGCCTTTTTGTTTGCTCAAGAAACATATCTTACTATAAAAGTTTTAAAAATTTCACTACGTAATATTTTGTGGAAACTTTACTTTTTCTTTATTTTCTAATGAATAGAAAGTTCAAAAGAACATATTTTATTTAAAATAGAAATCTTTTGAAACATTATAAATGTCTTTACTCTCTCTTTTAAACAACTGAATATATTCTTGCTGAATAAAATGATTAATTTCTTAAAAAAAAAAAAAAATGACCCCAAACTTTTGAACAGTAGTGTATGCTTACTAGGGGTGTAATGGTACACAAATATGACGGTTCGGTACGTACCTTGGTTTTAACGTCACGGTTCGGTATGATTTCGGTACAGCAGGGGGAAAAACTTTTTTTTTTAAGTTTTCTATTTTAATATATTGTAAAATGTAATTTATTCCTGTGTTGGCAGAGCTGAATTTTCAGCAGCCATTACTACCTTCGGAAATCATTATAATATGCCTTTTTGTTTGCTCAAGAAACATATCTTACTATAAAAGTTTTAAAAATTTCACTACGTAATATTTTGTGGAAACTTTACTTTTTCTTTATTTTCTAATGAATAGAAAGTTCAAAAGAACATATTTTATTTAAAATAGAAATCTTTTGAAACATTATAAATGTCTTTACTCTCTCTTTTAAACAAATTAATGCATCCTTGCTGAATAAATGTAATAATTTCTTTAAAATAAAAATCCCAATATTGTCATGTGTCTCACCTTCCAGGTCATATCCAGGATGTCCAGTAAGTCCATGGACACACAGGTGCATCTTCTCCTCAGCTGTCATTCATTCCGCACTTATCCACTAACAGTGCTGTGTTGACTATAATAGCTTGGGGCTCATTTCCCTAACAATGATCTACCTCCCGCCTCATTTGCCTAATGAGGGAAGCTAAGAACACTACAGCTCTGAAACAGCAGGGAGAGAGAACGAAAACTTGATGATGATGGTGGTGATGATCATCTTCCCCATTCCCTGTCCTTCCATGCCTGAAGCAGTAATCAGGGAGGGAGCGGGGCTAGAGGAAGGGGAACAGTGCGTTTAGAGGCGAGGGAGGGGTAAAAGGAGGAGCAGGCGGTTATTGAAGTGCCGGATGACTGACTGCTTTGGGAAACTGCCGCTCTTTCAATTACAGTGTGAGGGAGCCTCAATTATTCAACAGGGAAAATGACCAAATTAGTGTACGAAAAGTGTAATTAATCAGATATATATAGAAGAAGAGAGGGAGAGCGAGATTAAAAGAGAGAGAGATGGGGAATACCCCTCACGTTTATTCCGTCTCTTTGCTGTGTTTTACTTCTTGACTTCTCTGCCACCTTTCAGTGGACTGACATTTAAAGTGTTCTATAAATGGAGATTGCTATTTCCAGCCAACGTCGTTGCAGAGTTTCACTGTGTAATTGGCAATGCGTGTGAGAGCTGTGAGGTGTAAAGCACAGTGAAACCCATTACACTGACTATTACTGAATGGGAAAAAGTCGAGCCTTTAGGGTTCGTTCTGACATGATCGCTCTCACTCGTATGGCTAGGGGTCAAAGATTATTATTTTATCAAAGCTGCCAGGCCAGTTGTTTTAAATGTCTTATAGGTCAAGTCTTCTTAAGGTCATTGCTAGCGAGGTCAAAGATCAAGTGGTAAGACCACTACCATTACATGAGTTTTACCTAAGGACATTCACTTTGCTGTGGTTTTGCTGTTTCATAGCTTTTATCTAATTGGTCCTTGAGGGAAAGTGTGTAGGTTGTTTTTAAGAGTGTTTTCGTGTGTGTGTGTGTGTGTGTGTGTGTGTGTGTGTGTGTTTCAATGGTACCCACATTGAAGTCCATACTGAAAACATACTTGTGCATTATCTATCTATCTATCTATCTATCTAATAATTCATTAATTTATTAATTTATTTACTTAATTTTTTCTCAGATTTTTGATGCATTAAATAAAAATCTTTCAGATTCATATGCATCTGTCTTAAAATATGAACTTTCTCTATGACTTTTTTAATCATTTGTGTTAGCTGTAAATCAATATAAATTTGAGATGTGTACAATATTTAATATTAATATTGATAATATGTCCAAAATGATTTTTTTCTTATATGCCATTACAGTGATATAAATTTGCCAGTTTATGTTACTTTGATGTTCTGTTATAATTCTGTAAAGGATTTTTTTATTTATTTAATCAAATAATTGAATTGATAAGCAAATCAATTTGCTGTCAACCCAAATAATCACGTCCCTATTATTTATTTGTCTTTCTCTCCATTAAAAAAAAAAATAAAAAATCAGTGAAAAACATTTAGCATTATTTAACATTGTTTATTAAATGTGTTCCATCTAAATAAACCATGTCTTTTGAGAGTGAGCATTTAGGTAATTATTTACTGTTTCAATGGATAAAGAGAAGAAGGCAAGGAAAATGTGGGACCAACATAAAATTATCTAAATGCCACATAAAAGCCCCTAAATGACTGCCTAGAAAGAAATTGTCTAAGGAGCAGGCAAGCACTGTCACATTAACTAGATGTTCTTGTTTTGTCACATTAACTAGATCTACTTTTGTTTCATTGTTAATAATAATAAAAGTCAGTCTTTTTCTAGTTGAGTCATCCAAGGTTAGTCATCCAACTTTCATCTGACCTCACACGACCTCAGCGCTATCTCTTCTGTCCAATCGCAGATGGAGGGGAGGGGAAATGGAGACGTGATCCAGTGCTATCCACCAATAGCTGAGCATCAAGACGAGGGAGATGATGATGATGAAGATGATCAGATAGAGTATCTCAGTGGTGGAACCAAACAGAAAACGCACATGAAAAATGATCACCAAACCAACAAAAAGCTCCACATTCAGCATACCACTGTCACAAATCCTGACCTCGCAAATCTCAGCCCAAGGTGTGTACACGCCCACACATGCATGCATTTAAAAAACATTCAAAGATACAGTATTTTAATAGACATTTGCTCACTGGTGCATGAAGGACTTTGTGAGAGCAGTAAAGTGGATTTCTGTTTGTGTGTGTTCAGGGTCGTGGACGGCACAGAGGACAGTGATGGTACAGAAAATTCACACACATTCATATTTTCCTCTGGCCATCAGCACACCATCAGTGGTGCAACTAATACCACTGCCACCACAGCAGGTGAGTGAGTGTGTGTGTGTGCATATGTGCGTGTTGACAGGGGATGGATGAGTTGATGAATATTGGCATCTTTTGTCTTTATGCCAATATTCCAGGACTGACGCACAATAAACAATCACTCCATTTCCAGTATTTATTAATGATGATCTTTTGTTTATCACATTAAAGGAATAGTTCACCCCAAAAAATGAAAATTTGCTGAAACGGTACTCACCCTCAGGATATCCCAAGATGTCAAAGTTTGTTTCTTCGTCAGAGCAGATTAGGAGAAATTTATCATGGCATCACTTGCTCACTAATGGATCCCCTGCAGTGAATGGGTGCCATCCAGACAGCTGATAAAAACATCAAAGTAATCCACAAGTAATCCATACAACACCAGCCCATCAATTAACGTCTTGTAAAATGAAAAGCTGTGTGTTTGTAAGAAACAAATACATCATTGGGGCGTTTCAAGTTTAAACTGTCTCTTCTGGCCAAAATTCCAGCCCATAATCCATAATAACACCTCCTCCAGTGAAAAAGTCCATCCCTATTGTCTTCTCACATCAAAATCCACCGACATTTTAGTTTTGGACTGTTTTCACTTGTAAATGGTTCTTGATCTGTGAATATTTCTCTCCTGATTCAGGTGAGATGACTTTTTCACTCATATTTTAGCTGGAAGCAATGGTTTGAAGTTAAAAATGTTTTAATGAGGAATGTTTTTTTTACAAACACATTTTCACTTCACAAGAGGTACTGGAGTCGTGTGGATTACTTGTGGATGTATTGTTTTACAGTTTTTCTCAATTGCTTTAGCACACTGTTTGGACTCTTAATTCTGATGGTACCCATTGACTGAACAAGTGATGTATTGCTAAATTTCTCCAAATCTGTTCCGATAAAGAAATAAATCATCTACATCTTGGATGACCTGAGGGTCAGTAAATTTTTAGCAAATTTTCATTTCTGGGTGAACTTTTCCTTTAAAGGAATAGGTCACCCACAGCTTGTGTTGTTTTATATCTGTATGATTTTTCTGTAAAACACAAATGTCTAAGCTGTTCCTTCCCTCCTATTTACAGATATTACAGATCTTATTTACAGTCAGTGTAAATGAAAAAATGAAGACTGCTTTTCTTGAATTTTGGTCTTTTCCACACACAAAGATGTTCAGAAGACTGTCCTTTATCTGTTTTGGACCTTTTCATTTTAAATCACAGTTTATTTTCATACAAAAAAGGCAGCTTAGAAATTTTGCTAAATACCTCCTTTTTTGTTTCTTGGAAGAAAGAAAATCATACTGGTCTTGAAAGACATGAGTGTGAGTGGTGACAGAATTTTCGTTGTTGTGGTGAACTCTTCCTTGAAGTCTTTGTAATGAGTTTTCACTGGAAGTTCTGTCAGTGTTAGGCAGTTGGACATAATTGTTTTTTTCTCTGTGCAGAATTAGCAGCTAAATCAGAGGACACCAGAGGACAGCTACGCCACCTTAACCAAGAGGTAAATGATTTTCTGTTTAATCTCTGTCAGTCTTGTATCATTTTTTGCTGTGTAATTTAATGGTAGGTCTGCACTTACAGTTTATCTGGAAAGTGTGGGTTTTATGGGTGATAACTCTGCAGTAAATGTGAATACTAACAGATCGAACCTAGTGCAGCTCAGGTGAGCTCCTGGTGCCAGGTACGCTCAAGCCATATGGCGGGCTGCTGCGAGAGAGGAGAAGGGGATGTTATTCAAACACTAGAGGACATAAAACAATAAATATGATTAAATTAATATATAATACAGTTTTTATAAATACATTTTAAAGCATGCAAAATGGAACTTATACATGGAATATTTTTGAGCAATTGCACAAATTAATCATTGAATCTGTTTTGTGTACTGTTTCACGAACAGTTCTATATAGAATTGATAAACATAAATCTATTTTTAAATCAAAATGAATCCCCTAACTACACAACTTCTACTACTGTAAAAGTTTTTTTTTTTTTTTCATCATTGAAGGGCTTTGTCAGGCCATCTCAGGTCAGGCCCTACTGGTCACTCACATAAATGTGCAATGTTTAAGTGAATACATTAAATTTTTAATATTAATTGAATATTATCATTAAAATTAACTGAACATTAATGTTTAATAAAAAAAAAATCCATCAGGACCGAGAAGTCTTACTGTAAGTCTGTCTTGAAGATTTTGATGTATTTTTCCATGTTTTTCCCCAGTGTAATATATTCTCAAAATCCTAAATTAACTATTTAATTACCGCTGCAGTTTTTATCACATAATTGAGTCCAGATCGGACAATGACAGAGGACTGTAGTTCAGCTGAGTATTGGCGTGGGTATATAAATCCATGTGACAGCCCAGAGTCTTGATTGTCAGCCCACAGCTTTGACATGAGGCTTTTGACAGGTATTGTCGTGAGAGGGATGCCCTGCTGCTGAGCCTCTTCCTCATTTTTTCCTCTCTATCTCTGTCTCTGTCTCTTGTATCTCACTATATATTTTTGACAGCCGGCCTCTCAGCAGGATTTTGTTGTAATCCATGCTTGATTCGGTCTACCAAGAGGATGAGTCCAATATTCCACAACGCCCTTGAACCCACCGCATGGTTTCCCACGAATTGTACATATACACGATTCTGTGTAATTCATTATAAACTCAAAGACGGTTTGTAAAGATGTTTATTTGAGGAAAATTACTGCTGGGCAGCAGGGTTGTTGCTTCAATTTAAGGCTGATACCACATATTCAGTATAAAGGCTGTGGTATATATATGTATATACGTATAGAACATTAATGTTTAATAAAAAAAAAATCCATCAGGACCGAGAAGTCTTACTGTAAGTCTGTCTTGAAGATTTTTATGTATTTTTCCATGTTTTTCCCCAGTGTAATATATTCTCAAAATCCTAAATTAACTATTTAATTACCGCTGCAGTTTTTATCACATAATTGAGTCCAGATCGGACAATGACAGAGGACTGTAGTTCAGCTGAGTATTGGCGTGGGTATATAAATCCATGTGACAGCCCAGAGTCTTGATTGTCAGCCCACAGCTTTGACATGAGGCTTTTGACAGGTATTGTCGTGAGAGGGATGCCCTGCTGCTGAGCCTCTTCCTCATTTTTTCCTCTCTATCTCTGTCTCTGTCTCTTGTATCTCACTATATATTTTTGACAGCCGGCCTCTCAGCAGGATTTTGTTGTAATCCATGCTTGATTCGGTCTACCAAGAGGATGAGTGCTCTCTTCCTGTTGTCCCTTCCTGTTTGAAGCTGTTGTCTTGTACCTCCCTGCCACTGATGGCATTTATGGATCATTACCCAATTACTCTCATTATTTGGTATTATCACTTGTTGGCACGATTCTGAGGGTGACAGCCAAATCGGTGTCCATCTGAATCTGGATCATCTGTGCTGTGTTCTGGACAGTCACGAACATTATTACTCTGAGCTTATTAGGGGATGTGTATAGAGCACAAACGGTGCAAGAAGATACACAGGATGAGTAATTATGAGAATCCAAATTTAATTTAGTGAGCTGTGGTTACCTCATAATAACTATAAGTGTTAGTGCACTTCTAGAAAAATCAGTTGGAGGAATTGTAATGCTGGTGGCTTTATGAATGGGAATGGCTTTTCTGGTGCAAGACCTAATCAACTTTTTGAAACAGTTTTATTCGGAGTAACCCGAAAATGCATTTGTTTTTAGCATAGTTATGAGCTTGTTGTACATAAAAACATTTTTAAAAAGTTCAAGTCCGTGCTATTGAAATATTTAATATTATGCTGTTGTTTTTCATGTTTCTCAACTTTTTTATATATAAATTAGGATGTATTTATTTATTTGTTTTTTATTGTATTTAATATACATTTATTTGTTCAGGCTTTATACTTTTCACCCAGATTCAAAAGCAAACAAAAAAAAAGGAAAAGAAAATATTCACATAGACCCTGTGTGAAGTAATCAGGATCTACACCGGGGACTTTAATTAATGATCTTTCTTAAGAGAGAACCCAAAAATAACTAAATATCAATGTCAACAACGAACAATGATGTCCCATGGGACCTAAATAAATAATGCCACAGTTTCACCTGAAAGCTGCTGGCTGTAGCAGACAATGACAGATGGGGGGACGCAGAGGGACAACCCATGTCCTCAGAAGATCATACTGTTCTGTTGCTGTGGGGAACTGCAACTTTTTAACTGAAACTTAACCCTTAGGGCAAGTTATTTATTTTTCATTGGCTCAAGTTAAAAAATATAGATGTGAATCATTACCCTACATTTTTTTTAATTGGATGAAAGAAACATTTTTTTCAGTGTGTTTATATATTTTTATAAACATTACTTGCAAACACCTGTTAATGTATCAAAATAATTGTCATAACATTGCGTTGTGTTATGTTATATTGTAAAGAGAAATTAAATTAATTCAAATGACATTTTTTTAACAAATCAAAAAATAATGATTTCAAAAAAGGAAAAAAATTACTAAAATACACTTTTCTTTGTAACAGACAAAAAATGTTAAATAATTTGAAATCCAAAAAAATGACATTGATACTAACAATCACAATAGCATCAGTCAGTGATTCTCTATTGTGAAGAAAGAGTATAACAGTAATATACTGTATTTATAATCCACCACTACTGCTCAGCATTCTTCTATTAATGAAACACTGACTGTTTCATTAATCATGTGCTGAAAAACATTAATCATACCATGTGCTCTACCCTAAATACCCACTTTAAATACTGTTGCTTTTGTACATTATACTCATGAACTAATGAATCTGTTTAATATACTTGTGGTGGATCCCTAATGACAAAACACAAACATCTCTGCTTCCTAATGCCTGTAAAGGTCAAATGTGACACCTGTTTATGTCTTACAGGTGAACTCTCTTGGACGGGAGGTGGCAGAGCTGGGACGAGTCATGCGGAGTCTTGCCTTTCTCATGGAATCCATGATGGCCTCTCCTCAAACACCAGGTGTCTGTACATCCACGTTTACCTCGGGATATCCATCACCTCCCATCCCCTTCCCGAGCCAGGGTTCTTCTTGGACCAGCCCTCCTTTTTCTTCACCGATGCACCCTGGAATACGTCCAGGAGGACTTGTATCCCATCCGCTCAGACCACAAGAACTGCAGCTGGTCTGCCCCACCACATCTCCCGGTTCCATTCCCATCACACTTTCCTCATCCTCCCATACAGACAGATTCATAGAGCCGTTATTGACCCTTTCTCCGCACAGTGCAGTCGCTCGGACCCGCTCGCAGAGCCTGGAGACGCCTCATCTGCAGAATCACCAACACATCTCACACACCCCTGGAACTTTACCCAGAGCTGGACAGCCATCGCTGGGAGAAGGGGAGGATCTCAGGTCCCTGGGTTTGTAGCAGTCAACCTTTAAAATGGACAAGTTCCACTGGAATCTGCGTGTTAACCTGGACTCAGGACTGGACTGATAAGATAAGTGGTACACGCACTGCCAAAGCCATGGAGCAATGGTTCCTTCGAAGATATACGTGTTTACCATCTCACTTTTTAAGATAATCTCTCTAACGGCATGTCTTTCAATGCTAGATACTAAAGGGATATCTCTAATCAGGAAAAGTTGGAGTTCCAACAGCAGAAAGTTTAATTTCTGATTGTGATTCACATTTCATGTTGACTGCATTCATTATACATCCAAATACTGTTCATATTAAGCCAGTTGCATACAGCCACTTTAAGACTGTGTCTTAACTAGTCTGACCGACTAGCATTTAATCATTCATATTAGAGCAATTTACCTTTTGATGTAACTGACTTAAACTGACTGAAAAAAAGATCCATCAAAGTTTTACTTAACTTGTAATTTATTCTAATCATTGATGCCTAAAGTCCTTCGTAAAAGTTCTGTGCAATGAAAAGTTACACTTTATCAACAGCATTTGGAACATGCTACCAGTTATTAGCCAAAAATAACTGTTCCTTTGACACCGTTCCTCAGGTTCTAAATTGCAGTTATATTAATGCAATTCCAATGGCCTTCTTTGGAATAGACACTAAAGTGTATACAGTTTTTTCTGAAAATTTGTCCAGTAATTGCCATAATGTCACTATTCTCATAGCACCGGTTATAAGGAGGAAACTTCACTTGCATACGAGAATTATGTTGGTAACATAATCAGATGTTATCTGACCTAGAACAGTATTCCTGTTTAAAAAATGGTCTCGTTTTCATCTTGGAAAACAAACTTTTTTAAACTTGGAACATTTCTTCACGTACTGTACTTCTAAGAATTTTATGGAAACACCATGACTGAAAAGATAGGAATACATTTCACAGTTTGAGTAGAGTCTGGAGAGACTCCCAATATTCAGTGAGCCAGATGATTTATATTCACTCTTTAATCAGATGCTTAAAAGTATGAGTTCTTCTAATCAAGCTTTACAGTGCTTGATAACTGACTTCATCCTCTAATTTAGTCAGATTAGCCCTGTATGGTGTAAAAATGCGTTGTATCTGCTATGTTTAACAAACGTAACTAGTTGATGGGTTGTCTAAACAACTAGTCAGTCTTAAATAAGCATTGCATAATTAATAATAGTCTTGTCATTTCCACTGAATACTTATCAGACTAGTTAGGCATGTAAGATGCTTACAAAACTGTCAACAGTAAGCTGACAGATATTCAGTAAAGAAGCTAAATAACTAACCTTTAATTGCACAAAACTACCATAGTCCTCACATAAAAAGATGGATTATGCATAATAACGGGAGCATTGCTCACAGCGGGCAATCTGAAGTTTGACAGTAATTGTCTTGGAATTTATTGTTGAAGGTTGTGAATTAGTTACAAAAGCGGTGCTTTGATGACTGTAGCGACGAGGTTTTAAAGGGGATGAATTTAGAAACTTCTTAGAGAGGGCTGTATGCAGGACAGGTAACTTGTACGACTTTTTGCATGCTAATTTACAGCATGATGACAGCATGCTAAAAGCCTTTGAGAAGCTGCATCCCCTTTTAAACGCCACTGCTAATGCTAATCACAGAAACTGGTAACACTTTACATCTGATTTGTTAAACTAATTTTGACAGCATTTATTATTCATCATATATTTATTATTGTTAATTTGTTAATATATTTTAATTTATGTTCATTTATAATACATTAAAATATTTTTACATATTTTTTACAAAATATTTTTGTAACTGTTGTTGATGCCAACTTAAATTTAAAACTATAAAAAAATTGTTGATGAAAATATAAAACAAACAAACAAAAAATACTGCCTTGGCAACTAAGTTGAAAAATGACGAACTAAATAAAAATAAGAAATGATGCCAAATTTTTTATATTAAAAAACAAACAAAAATGACAAAAACACATAAAAACATTACTAAAACCTTCAAATGAAAATAAAAATAAATTAGAGCTAAATTCGGATTATGAATATGAAACAGAACCTAATAAAAATGTCAAAAGCACATAACAAAATGACTAAAAATTAAACTAAAATTAAAATGAAAATATAAATATAAAAGCTAATTCATAACAACATTACTAAAACTTAAAATGAAAATATAAGCAAATTAAAGCTAAATTCTTCATATTTAAATAAAAATGACAAAAGCACATAACAACATTATTAAACTTAAAATGAAAAAATATAAATAAAATAAAATTAATTAAAGCTGAATTCTAACTATGAAATAGAACCTTATACAAATAACAAAAATTCTATAACAAACTGACTAAAACTTAAACTAAAATAAAAAATGTAATAAAAGCCCATTCAATATAATAATAAATACTATAATAATATATAAATCATACTAAAATAGCACTTGCACTGTGGCATCACATTGGTTAGTGATTTGCTGCTAATGTGACCAGAAATTGAAATGACTTCAAGTGGCTTCACATCACTTGCAGTGTGAACGTCTCGTAAACTCCTTCATTATCAACTTCAACAAGACAAGATTGATTAATTGTTTGCTTTACATTAAAACTAAACCATAAATGCTGGCTTTAAAGCATCATTCTAAAGTTTTTCAGGATATCCCTTTAGTTTCTTTCTATTTGTTGTTTTTAATTGCATGACTTCTGAAGAGGGTGGAGAGTGTACCCTTGCAGTAGGTTGTAGAGATGCCTTGTAGGGTTGTGCAGTAGACACCATAGAAGCATGAAGGTCATCTTGACACACACTGTCTCTCCTCTGTTTTCTACTCTGCTTGGCCCTCAGGGCGGGAGGGAGGAACAGCAGGGACGAGTCTTACACAATGTGCGGACGCTGTATGCGAGTGCATGTACTTGAGTATGCGTGCCAGTGTGTTCGGGGGGGAAACGGGGTTATAATACTGTAGCCAAGCACTAAAGGGGTATTTGTGGCAGAGGTTTCTGAAGGAATGGGATCTGGGGCATGAGGGATGGGGGTGGGGTGCTCAAACATTGGAGTTTATTATTAGTAGAAGTTGAATTGACATGGGGAAGGGGGTTTCTGTTTGCTTGCTCTTTAGGACTGGTCTTGGGGGATTGGTTGCCGGTGGCAAAGTGGCCCCTGCTGTCAATCGTCTCTCCCTGGCGCAGATGTGGTCTGTCTGCTTTGCCTCTTTCTGTCTTCTCTCTTTCTCTGCTCACTTTCCTCCCATTTCACAGTCTTAATCTGGGAGCGTTTTAAAGTCATGAAAATGTATTTGAGTTTAGGTTCAGTTTTTCCCAGTTATGTTAGTTTTTATTTTTATTTCAGTTAACTTTGTGTTCATTTAATTTTGTTTTAGTTTTCTGTTAATAACCAAAATACCAATTGGTATCGGTTCTCAAGCTTCACTTAACCAACATGATGGACACATTTAAATAGCAGAGGATATGAAATTTGCGAAGAAAAAACAAAAGCAGAAAAAAGAGAAGAGCAGCATTTCAAAACTTTCTTCATAATGTGGAACCCTGTGAGAGTAAGTAGATGATGCCAGAATTTTTATTTTGTGCTGAACTGTCCCTTTTAACTGTTCCACTCTTATTCTATATGCACTCTGTATGTTTCATTCTGTCTGTTTTATCCTATTATTGGAAACTGCATGTCAGACTTTATATTTCCTTGTCACTGTAAAGGGTGACTGATATAGCCAATACCGTATTTATTCTACTTGACATTTCAGGTATAATAACATGACATTTTCAGACTTTTTATATTATATAAATATAAAACTGGCCCCCAAAAGTCTTCATCACGGCTTTGGGTCAGCTTGATATTTCCTCCCACAATTCAGGACAGACTGTGTCTTCTTGCCCCTTCCTGCAGAACTCCTCGTCTCCATCCCTCTGCAAGTCACGGGACGGCGATATGCCAAGCTTGAGCATAGGGGTTTACATTTTTATATTTCTATGAATGTATCACAACTAAAGGTGTATTTTTGTACCTCTAAAAACAAAGGAAAGCTTCTGGATTCGTGAAAAGACTGCTGGGAACGGATGCAATATGTTTGGCTACTGGAGGAATTGTGGGAATCATATTCCAAAGCAACAATGAATCTCGATGCAGCTCTCTCACTGTCTCGATGGCTTTGTGAAACTCTCCTCTCTCCAATACTACGGGGAATGTAATCACGTTATTTAAATTCCTTTTTTTTTTATATTATTAGAGGAAAAACCTGTAATGCAAATAAATGACTACAGCTATTGGATTAACGCAGATGTATTGTGCATGTTTGCAACTGTTGTTCTGCCACAGATGTATATCATTGGAGAGGCTGATGCCAAGCTAAAATCACCGCACACTGGGAGAAGGGGAGGATGTAATGTTTAACATGTCAATGTTAACACAAGTTAATATATATATATACTAACATTTTCTTTCATTTAAATTAAGTATCATTAATATGAAAGTCTAGATCATAATATGGAATACGTTTAAAGAAAGGTCATACTTTATATTATTAACATATATTACTAAAATTAAAATGTTTACCAGCTGGTCAGTCTTCTTCTAGATACATTATTTTTTGATTCAGTCATCATTAGCAGTGTTTTTGCCTGTTGATTGTGTTAGCCTACATGAAATTGAAATTGCTTGATGTTTAGTTTTTTAGTCCTGTATTGACTTGTTTCCTATTGAAACAAGAAGTTTACGTGGGACAAGAGAAAATATTTCTATTTAAATAGTTACATCAAAGCCATAAATCATGATTTGCAACAAGGTGTGGTCAAATTAGCTACATTTTGCAGGCAAAAGGGTCCATTGTCAATAGTGTAGCGATGTATTAAGGAAATAAAAAAAAAAAAAATAATAATAATTATCTGCAGAAATTTGAAGAACAACCTTAAATGTGACTGCGCCTTTATTTTACTGCGGGGGAGGGGCACTGTCATTCTAAAGAGCATTTGATTGGACAAAAAACTGTGCAGTGCAGGATGAGTCATCAATATTTTTGTGTCGTTTCCCCAGCCAGAAGATGGCTTCCCAGTCAACAATTTGATCTCACAATGATGTCACCATGAGCTCACACGATTCTCATGGTGTGGTCTTGGGTTTAAAACAAACACGTGGATCAAAACCCACAAAATCTTCATTTAAAGTTCATCTTTAACAACCTAGAGATCGAGATTTAAAGACATCAAACATGGCAAAACTGCTCTCAGTCTCCTCTACTGTATGTACTCTGCTGAGTATTGAACATTTATGTTTTGAGCGTGTTTGTAGGCTGTGTTTGCGTGTGTGCACTTGTCACGGCGTGTGACAGATGTCTTGAATGTAAGCGTCAGGGAACACAGGCTCGCGCGCACGCCAGACGCCACCAGTGTGTGCTTTTTTTGTCGCCACCGCCGCGGTTCATCTGAGGAGAATACCACGTGTTGACAGTTCTCCATGGTTACTCGAACAGCTGTAAACTGAAACAAATGGAGAAGAGATGAGGTAAGGTAGGTCAGGAAGATGGAAAGAGATGAAGCGGGAGTGAGACGGAGGAAAATAACAGCGGAAAAATAGGAAGCCGGGTGATAAATGCATGATGCAAGATACAAGAAAGAGGAGACTGATGAAAGTAAACGACAGGAGTTTGAGGCGATTATTGCAGGAATGTTGGCAATTTTGAACATATACAGCTTTTTTTCTTTCTTTTTTGTTTTATTAAGCAAGGCCACATTGAATTAATCAAAAGCGACAGTAAACACATTTATGGTACAAAACCTTTCTATTTGAAAGAAATTCAGTTCTTTTAAACTTCATGTTTATCAAAGAATACTGAAAAATACAGCTATCATAGTTTCCACCACAAAATTATTAGGCTGCAACGGTTTTCAACATTGATAAGAAATACAAATGTTTATTGAGCACCAAATCAGCCTATAGCTATATGTCTGGACCACGTGACACTGAAAACTGGAGTAATGGCTAATAATAGGCTACTCAGCTTTGCCATCACGGGAATAAATAATATTTTAAAATGTTATTTTGATATTTTACAGTTATTTTGATATTTCACAATATCACGGTTTTACTGTTTTTTTTAATAAAAAAAACCCAAAAGTGTACACTGAAAGTTGACATGACATTAAAATTGACTTCATTTACATAATTTAGTTGACTTAATTTAGTATCTTAAGACATGTTTCTGGTCTGATTGTGCACGATTCATCAAAAAAAAAGTTTGCTTTACAAACCTCTTGCCTGCTTTTCAAAATCGAATCAATGTATGATAACTGAAAGTCCTTTCCTTAATTTTGTCTCGTTTCACTCGAAAATACATAATTTATTTAAGTGAAAAGTGTTGTGAACAAAGTTTCATGCTCCTTAACAATGTCCTGAGGTTGATATAAAAGAGGTGTTTCTTTTTATCGGAACACTCCTGAGCTTCATCCATATTTAATTATACTGTAAAACACGGCTTCTTTTTCCTGCAGGTACGACACACTTCACGCGTTGAGCTGAGCAATCTACTCACAGTCTGTACCTGAGCCACAGACAAAAAAAAACAAAACATTACCAACCGTGGAGGGGCTGGGGGTGACAGTGCAGGGATGGAGACGGCAGTGAAAATAAACGGAAAAAGCTGAGCCAGAAAGATATCTATAGTTCGATAAGAGAACAGGATACTGGCTATGCAGAGAGTATAGGTGGAACTTTTGATTGCCTTCATAGTGTTTCTCCGCAAGCAACTGATTTTCTGAGTGTGCGTGTCTATGTGCGTTCTGATGCGAACAATAACGCTATTCACTATTTTCTGATAGCCCTGACCCAAATACACTGTCTATTCATCACTTCGCCCATCCATTAATGTGTACAATACAGCTCTTCCATTCAAATGAGCACACGCACTTACAGAAAAGAACCAGGGTAGTTTGAACGCAGCCGTCTCAGTCGGGCGCATTTAGAAATGTGCTCATCAGTGTATTTGGAACAAGGTCAAAACTCTTAATATCATGAAACGTGACCGTTAAGATGAGAAAACTGTGTCAAAGCTGGGTCATGTCAATATTTTTCATAACTGCAACAGTAATTTCACTGCTAAGAACTATATAGCTAAGAACTATAATAAGAAGTTAAAAACTATAATTCAAGTCAAGTCAGTTCTGCTCATGTTGTTGTTCCAAATCTGACTCTAGAATGTCTTGTAACTGACTGCAAAGTGTCTAGTTTTAATATTACATAGCCCCTAAAGGGACATGGTGATGGTTAAAAAAAATCAGAGAAGAAAAATTGTCAAAGCATTTGCGTTCCCCAAAGAAACCTTGCGTTCCCTTGCATAACTTTGTGGATGGAAAAACTATTTCAGATCTTTTGCAAGTGAACGAGAAGTTGCTGAATAGAACACAATCATTTTTCACAGTATTTTTTATAGTATTTTTGCGAGAGAGCATCCATTTTTTCCATCGTCGCGCCCCTTTTGGGGCTCCATAGAATATGCACTCAAATGAATGAGATATAACGGTAAAGGCAGAGGGCGCCAAAGACTATTTTACTGAATACTGACAATTTCAATATGCTCCTCACTCAAAGCTTTTTTTGAGTGCACCATGTCAAATAAACTTTTACGGTGCTTATTTTGTCCTTTTTTGGAGTTTTTTGCCAGTCCCAGGTCATAAGAGGATTTCATTGTACACTGTAAAAAAATTCCGTAAAATTAATAGCAACGTTTTAGGTTTTACGGGTTTAACTTAAATTTACAGTTAAATACCGTATTTTCATTTACTGATATAATGTTAATATACAAACCTATTGAAGTACTGAAACCTGTTTTGCACCTTTGTAATACACTGATAACCACCAAATGCAGGTGGTGATGAGAAAGTCACATGATGAACCAAAGCCCATCACAAGCAGCTCTTAGATAATAACATATATAGAAGGTGCACAGTGTCATTCACACAAACACCAAACACCATCATGGTAACACACATGAAACTGAAATAATGCAATAAACATTCATTTAACAACATTAGGTGTAACACACAACCCTAATATACAAAACTGATAAGAAAAAACTAAGAAGAAACATAGTTATTTCAACAAAAAAAAACATCAAATTTGAAATGTAACGCAGGGAATTCTGGGAATGTCAATTTACGGTTATTCACTGTAAATTATACGGTCTTTTTCACTTCCAAAAACGGTATACTACCGTAAAATTAATGTCCAATACAGTTTTTCACCGTATATAGTAGGGGAATTTACCGTTAACCATTTAACAGTTTTTTACTGTAGCATTTTTACAGTCTTTTATCGTTAAATTCACGGTCATTTTTTACAGTATTAATCTGTAAAAGTAATGACTGTTTTCAAATAGGTTTCCCAAACACTTGGGCCCTGTTTACACCTGGTATTAAGATGTGTTTTGGTCGATCGGATCACAAGTGGACAATGGAGACACATGCCCGTTTATACCTGGCGTTTTAACCCGTCTCTTCTGTCCACTTTAGACCACTTCTGGTGCTGATTACGTCAAGAGGAAGGTAAATGGGCGGATCCCTCTGTCGGCGTCAAAACAAGAGCGGGAGGGCTAAAGTTATCGCGCATTAATATTATGTCTGCTTGTACTTATGCTGCGTTCACGCCATATCCTAATTACCGTAATTTCGAGATGACAGCACATGACGTTCTACTCGGAGCTGTTCACGTCCTCGGACTCGGAATTATGCTTTTCTATGGCAACACTATCAACGCCTAAACAGAGCCTGCGGTGGTCAGGTGGTACAGTGGTCACATGGTACAAGTCATAGCTCTCAGAAAACTCCCAGTTCACAAGTTGTAATTACAAGTTCTATGAGGACGTGAATGCTTTTTACAAGTTGAAATCTCGTAATTATGGGAATTCCGATATGGCTTGAACGCACCTTTACTGTACTGCTAGTGTTGTTAGCAAACATGGTGCACCTGGTTTCACTGGATGTCCTGCCACGAGGATCCATCGTTTTCATGTTATCAGAAAAGAAATAATACTTCTGATTCAGCCCGTCAAACTTTAAATCCCGTCTGATAAGCGCGCACCCTTGTATGTCTCGCAATGATTACTTATTAGGTCAGTAGGCGGAGAGTAGGCGGTCTTTTGTGGCTGCTTGAACTCAATCGACCACATCAGCGTCTACACCACGAAAGCA